CCCGTCACAGCGCCACCCAGAGTTGAGCAGCAGAATAGCTCCATGCAGCCTTGATTGAAAGGCCAGGTGTGCCAGGGAGCAAGAACAGTTCTTGCTCCCATGGACCTTTCCCCGGGCAAGTCACATGACATGGGTCACATGACATGTGGCCTGAGACGCTTTTTAGTATCGGGGCTTTCCCAGAGGCATCTTAAAAATGCTACATCTACTGATACATTTTATTTAGTAGTTGATTTGGCTTATATAAGGAAAAAAAAAAAGCAAGCTGGGCATGGTGGCTCATGCCTTTAAATCTCAGCACTTGGGAGGTAGAGACAGGCTCTCTGTGAGCTTGAGGCCAGCCTGGTCTACAAAGTGAATTCTAAGACAGCCAGGGCTATTACAGAGAAACCCCATCTCAGGAAAACAACAACAACAACAAAACACATAAAAGCCAAAACCAAAATCAACAAAACCAGAGTCCTTGTTTTCAAGGTTTTATCGCTTAGGGCAAAATTAAGGAATAGAAGAGAATTGATGTCACTGGGTGGTAGAATCACACTCCTATAATCCCAGCACTTGAGAGGCAGAAGCACATCGAACTCTGAGTTTGAGGCCAGCCTGATCTACAGAGTGAGTTCCAGGACTGCCAGGACTACACAGAGAAACCTTGCCCTCCAAAACCAACATAAATAAATTATATGAAAGACATCACAAGGTCTAGCAGGATGGCTCAGGGAGTCCAGGTGTTTGCCATCAAGCCTGATGACTTGAGTTCAACTCCTTAAACACACAGAAAATGGACTCACGCAAGCTGTCCTCTGACCCCCACATGCGCACCATCACACACTCGAAAGTCTGTGTGGTTAATGAGGGTAACACTGGGCAGAGGCCTGTGGCCACGTGTTTGTCATCTGAGTATTGTCACCATACAGTACCCTGGCCGTTGGGGCCCACGACAGCGTTTTGTTCGTGCACGGTCCTCATTTCTGCTCTATCACTCTAGTCCCAGCATAATCTAAGTTCACAAACTGTCAACGTTTTTAGGCCAAGCTGGCCAATTTGGTCTCCAGGGATGGTCATAGGACTTAGAGAACATGGGAGAAAGTCTGGGTTCAGGTTCGTGTTCACTTGTCCCAGGAAGACCCGGAGCCAGGGCTGGCCCACATCCTCTGGGACTCTGAGGTTGCTCTACCTGCCGGGCTCCACACCCTTCAGCTGCCCTTCCCCACAGGATTATGGAGGAGGCAGGGTGGGACGTTGTCCTGGGTTGGGGGTGGGGAGTGTAAAGGGGTCTGCTTGTTTCAGAAGCAAAACATTGGCTTGGATGCTGTTTTAATTGTTTTTCCTTCCTCCTGATGGATGGATCCATTTAAGCTGTGCACAGTGCACTGAGGCATCCTAAAAACAAAACAAAACATTTCTTCATTCTGTTCCGTATTGCTTTCCTCACTCAGCATGCTGTGCTCATCTATAATGGTAAAGGCTAGGCTAGTCCTCAGCAGTGTGCCTGTGTGTATGTGTGTGTACACATGAATTCGCATGACTTGTCTTTCTTGTCACATTAATTACAGGGTAATTAACACTCCCTTGTCAGTTTACACAAAGATTTTGCTGTTGAAAGGAAGTGGCCAAAGGAGAGAAAACTAGTGCTTGAGTGCCACCTAGTGGCCATGAGTAAGACTGCTCGTCACTGGTGCACAGAGCCTACCCAGACCTTCCTGGGTTCTGTGGAGGAGTCTGAGAACCTACATCATGATTGGCGGCTCAGCCTACACTCTGGTCCACGGGACAGTTACCTCTGTGTCATGTGGAAGGTGAAGAAGCCTCACCATAAGGCTCAGCCTCTGGTCAGGCATAGTGGCACACGTCTTTAATTCCAGCACTTGGGAGGCAGAGGCAGGCTGGTCAGGGTCAGCTCCAGGACAGCCAGACCGACGTGAGAGACCTTGTCTCGGGAAAAGAAAAACAAACAAGAAAACAAGCAAAACAACGGATGACCTTTCCGTATGTCATTTATAGGAAAATGGGTGGCGATAGAGATTTTCACGGTGAACAAAATCAGGCCAATCCAGCAAGGCGACAGCATCTTTCCACACATGCACACACACAATATATATATATTAAAAAATTAAAATGATTCCTAATTAAAATAAAGAGGCATATGTTTGGTTCAGTGAGATGACTCAGCGTACATGCACCCACCTCCAAGCCTGATGACCTGCGTGCAGCTTTCAGGATGCATGTGGTGGAGGAGAGAGGGAATGCACAAGTCCTTTGGCTTCTACACGCTTCCTCGGGCATGGGTATACTCATAAAATAAATGGGCAAGAAATTTTAAAAGCCAAAAACACCCTCTGCAAACCAAAGAGCTAGAGGCGTGTCCATCTGGAAGTGTTTACCGAGTTCAGCCCCGTAGGCACTCAGGGGCCCTGCCATGGTCCATGGGGACCCAGCTACTTCTTGACTTAGCATCCATGTGTTTGCTGGCTTTGTGGCTATACAGAATGCACGAATCACAGGGTCGTGGGACTTACTTCAGGGTTGCAGAAAACACCCCTGAGGCCACACGGTGTGCAGGAGGGTTGGATTCCTTCCTAGGGGTGAGTAAGCCTCAGTCAAGTAGACACCTCAGGGCATTGAAGACGCTGGGGATGCGGGACGGATGCCAAAGAAAACTGTAGGTACCCAGTGGAGCTGGCCCAGAGGAGAGGCGTGCCTGCAAAAGGCAGAGCCACAGGGCCTGGAATAGCCAAGCTCTTGCTCCTCAGATATCACTGGATGGATATCAGATATGGAGCTACAGAATATCGTGTTTACTTTGCTGAGTTGCTGCATTTTTTTTTAAAGATTTGTTTGTTTTTTGAGACAGAGTTTCTCTGTGTAGTTTTGGCTGTCCTGTACTTTGTAGAGCAGGCTGGCCTCAAACCCACAGAGATCCGCCTGACTCTGCCTCCTGAGTGCTGGGATCACAAGCGTGGGCCACTTCGCCTAGCTCTATTTTTTTTTAAGATTTATTTATTCATACATTTATTTATTATGTACACAGTGTTTTGCCTACATGTACACCTGATCACCAGAAGAGGGCACCAGATCTCATGTTAGATGGTTGTGAGCCACCATGTGGTTGTTGGGAATTGAAATCGGGACCTTTGGAAGAACGGTCAGTGCACTTAACCTCTGAGCCAGCTTTTCAGCCCTTTGAAAAATTTTCATGTATAGGTCTCCGTGTATATGTGAGCACATAAGCCCAGCATGGGTGCTGGGGGCTGAGCTCAGGTTCTTCATAAGAGCAGCTTTTAACCATTGAGTCATCCTCCTTTCAGCACCCGAGTTTCTTCTTGCTTCCCTTCCTCTCTTTCCCTTCGACATCGGCTTGTGATGAATGGGAAGGATGTGGGGTTTCTTTCTGATTTTGCAGGGTCTGTAGCTCAGATTGCCTCAGCAGGGACTGTGCTCTGGACACCTCTGACTGTGTGTGTTTGTATTGTGAGATGGACATGACCCTCTCCTGGCTAAGATTATGCTTTGAATCTTCAGTGTCTCCCACAGACTTGCATTTGGAATGCTGGGTCCCTGGCTTGTGGTTCTGTTTTGAAGGCTGTGGAACTTTTAAGAGGTGTGGCCTTGCCTCTGGAAATAAGACTCTAGTGGCAGGTCCTTGAAGGTGGTACCCACTCCTGGGTTGGGCTTGTGTTCTCTGCTTCCTGTGCCATGCCGTGGGACAGCCACCATCTCATGTTCCACCAGGATGGAATCGTTCTGCCATGCCTTCCCTGCTACAGGGAATGAGAGAAACCTGTCTGTCAGGTTTTTTGTTTTGTTTTGGTATTTAGTCACAGCGATCCTAAAATAATTAATAAAATATCCCACCAAGAAGTAATTAATAAAATTTCCCACCAAAACTGGGAGCTGTGAACCTAGTTCTCATTGTTTTGGAAACAAACCAGAAAGAATTAACTGAGCCTGTGTATGGGGGTAGTACCTTTTTTTTTTTCCTTATTCTTCTTTCTTTTTGGTTCTTCCAGGCCAAAGGTTCTCCTGCTAAGCTGTACCCAAGTCTTGCTCTCTCTCTCTCTCTCTTTTTTTTTTTGTAGGTGAAAGTCCATTCATAAAGCTTTTATTCCACTTATGTGACTATTAATACATGTGTTCTTCTTCTGTTTTGTTTTTTGTTTGTTTGTTTGTTTTAGTTTTTTGAGACCAGGTTTCTCTGTGTCTCCTTGGCTGTCCTAGACTTGCTTTGTAGACCAGGCTGGCCTCAAACTCATAAAGCCCCACTTGCCTCTGCCTCCCTGAGTGCCAGGATTACAGGCGCAAGCCGCCGAGCCCTGCTAATACATGTGTTCTTAACAATTATGGTTGGATTGTTCATAAACATTTCATCAGACATTAAAACAAGGCTAGTCCTCATCTCAGGTTACTTCCCTGTTACCTGTTTTTACAGCACATGTGTGTTAAGTAAGTGTCAAAAAAGAAAAAAAAACCACAAAAGTAAAAAACAAAACTAAAAAAAAAAAAGTTAAAGACACGGGCTTTTGTTTATCATGGTGCTTGCTTTACACGCGGAGCAATGGCCACCAAGCCGTTCGTTTTCACTGCATCTTTGCCTTGACATTTGTTAGATTGCCTAAAACATTTAGCTGCAGATGAAACTCGCAAAAATAATGAAAGCAACCAGCGGGGAGCCTTACAGATCATGTAATGGGAACCGTTTCTGCCCTCATCAGAGAAAACTGGGTCGCAGCTTTGCCTAGGGACCACTTCCAGAGCTGTGGTCAAGGTTGTGTGTGAAGACACGCCGTCCCAGTGGGCATCCATGGATGTTTGTGTGCGCCACAGCCTCACAAGTAGCCCAAAACGTAAAGTGCCTACAAAGACTAGTTACTACGGGTAACTCCTTAAACTTAACTGGCTCCACTCAGCGGCTCCCTACACCCATTCTCTTCTCTGGTCCAAGAAAGTGCTGGACCCCCAAGGGCACACCCGGAAACAGCCATATCTTTCTGTGTCCCCGGCAGGCAGACCTCAATACCAACATCGACGATGAGGGCAGCGCCTTCTATGGGGTCTCCAGCCAGTATGAGAGCCCCGAGAACATGATCATTACCTGCTCTACCAAGGTGTGCTCGTTCGGCAAGCAAGTGGTAGAGAAAGTTGAGGTAGGAGTCCACCCAGTGGGTGCAGGGCTTGGTCTGTGTGCTCCCTCTCACTGGCTCTCTCCTGCTGGCAGGGTGGCTAAGGGAGGCCCCGGGCTCCTTGTGGCTTCTGTGTACCTTCAGGAAGTGCATGTTTTGGGTTGGGTGTGAGGCATCTGATAAATGACTGATTTAATTGCCTGGGGCCGCCTCAGAGCCCCAGCTGACTCTCCTGGCTGACATTCCTCTTGAACCTTCCTTGCAAAACGCCCCACATCTAGAGCACGGCCGGAGTACATGCTAGCCCAAGGGATTTCTCCCTAATCCCGCTGTGTCGTTGACAGCTGGGCCCAGGGATAGGAGAGGCCTTTCCCAGCCACACACCTCTCTAGAGGCGGAGGCAGAGGTGAGAAGGGATGTTCAGGGATCCTTTGCTCCTTACCTTTTGCTCCCTGGATGCCGAAAACTTAGGGGTCCCTTTTCTCCAGGTGTTTGGGTTTCTGTAAGAGCCTGGCGTATGCCAGGCAGGAACTCAACCACAGAGCTTACTTTACTGTCAACCCTTACTCTCCCCCTCCTTCTTTCTCCCCTCCCTCTTTCTTAGTTCCTTTCTTTTTTGCTTCTTTCCTTCCTCTGTCCATCTCTCCCTCTTCCTTCTTCCTTCCTCCCTTCCTTGAGGCCATCTTTAGATCCCTCTGCCCTAGCATCCCAGCAGCACTCAGCTTACCTTTCAGGTTGGGAGTGCCCTGGAGACCGTACACTTGGGCGGAAGCTCCTGCCTCTCTCCCACTCACCCCGTCAAGGGCAGGCGGCTGGTGGTGAGCACAAGCGAGAGGAGCTGGGTCTTGATCCCTGTGCCCCTCCCCCACCCCCTTCCTCACACACCACTTCTCTCTAAGGAGGTATCCAGTCATCCCCACCATGTGCTGGTTCCGGTAGCTGTGACATTCTGGTCCTATTGAGTAATGACAAAAATGGCTCTAAAGCCTGCATCCTATCCTACTCGTGGGCCTAAAGTCTGTAACCCTGTAACACTGTTCATGACGTCAGTCTGGTCACCTCTTGGCTCCCCGAGGTCTTATTTGATGGTGTCCTCTCCAACTGGGGTTGACAGCCACCTCATGTCAAACAGCTAGGTGCCAGCCTGGCCCTGGGAAAGGATCTTGACCTTGGAGTCCCAACCTCAGAATTGCCAGGGAGTGTTTGATACCTGCTGAGCCCCATTCATGTAACTGTCTCAGTCTTGGCAGTGGGTCTGTGGGTGTGCCGTCTTTTGTCCCGTTTGGTGTTAAAGATAATGAGGTTTTGAGGCGTCCATGTCTCTATCCAGTCATCATCCCACCCGCCATCCATCCAGCTCCTATGCCAGTAGCATCCACCACCAAGGTTCATGCATATGGTGGCTCCATCGCAAAGGTGCTGGTGCCCTCCCCCACCACGGCCTCGTGCGCAGCACCTGCCCCGTCTCATTGCTGCTACTTCCAGGTCCTAACATTTCCCTCTCCTGGAGGTGTCCGCCTGTCATGTCAGTGGCAAGGGGGAGAGGCCTGGCCGTAGCGTCCTGAACCCTCAGAGGATGACTTCGCTTGCTCCTGGCTTGTCTTCTGCCTCTGCTCCCCATGGGTGGCGATCAGATTTTTGCACATCCCCGTTGAACTGGGCTTGGGGAAGGAGGGGGAGGGACGAGGCTGAGCCTCTGTTGCCCCTCCCCTGGGGCTTCTGCAGACCGAGTATGCGCGCTACGAGAACGGCCACTACTTGTACCGGATCCACCGGTCCCCGCTGTGTGAGTACATGGTCAACTTCATCCACAAGCTGAAGCACTTGCCGGAGAAGTACATGATGAACAGCGTGCTGGAGAATTTCACCATCCTGCAGGTATGGTGTGGGCCACCTGCCGGGGCTGTGGCGCCTCGGTGGCTGGCACCCGTGGCTTCCCCGGCCAGCTCTCTGACCCTCACCTTCCTCCAACCCGCAGGTGGTCACCAACCGGGACACCCAGGAGACCCTGCTGTGTATTGCGTACGTCTTCGAAGTGTCAGCCAGCGAGCACGGGGCTCAGCACCACATCTACCGGCTTGTGAAAGAATGAAAGACTGTGGAGGACAGCGATGGGGGGACGGGTCCAGGAAGTAGGGAACTGGGAGGGAACCTTCAGGGACAGCCCCCAGAAGTGCCAAGAGAGCCAAGCAGGGCTGCTGTTCTTACCAGGAGCAAACTGCCTGATCTTGCACTGCTCAACCCCCACCCCCCAAAATAAACCCAAGGTGTCAGGTACTTCCAGAGGAGCTGGTCTGGCTGTATGAGCCCAGAAGGGCAGGGGAGAAGGGGGCGCTAGGAGGCAAGCTGGAAGCCATGGCCAGAGATGCCCCAGGATGGTCCAGGAGCCAGAACCCCAGTGGACTCAACCATGCGAATCACCAGACACCAAAGCTCAAGACCCGGTGGTCCCTTCTCAGCCGCTGGAACCTTAAACTCTGCTGCTGTCAACTCTGGTGGCCCGAGGACAGGTGGTACATGGGTCACACACCCAGGAATGCTGTGCCTGACTTTGTACACCGTCTGTCGGCCCCGCCACTGCTGCCTGAGGATAGCGACAGCCAAAGGCTCCAGCCCTGCAAACAGGGCCAGATTTAAGCGTGGCTGCCACATAGTTGTTGGACAGAAACTGGGGAAGAGCTACTCAGGTGGCTTTGCTCCTTGAGCAGTGCTCCTGCAGGGGCCGGGGGCTCCAGACTGAGGCAAGGCTTGGAGGTAGGGAATCCTGCATCGGGGCCGGCATTTCCAGCTGCCTGACCTCGGCAGGCCCACCTCAGCTCCTCTGTGTGTCCCCTTTCTTCTCTGCTCAGCACTGAGAAGAGGAGGATGCTATAAAGTGCCTCGGCCATGCTGTGCCAGTTAAATGATCCAGTTCTTGGCCCCTTGCTTCTCTCCCTCTGGAGGGCCTGGATCTGTCTCTCTGCTGCCCTCTCAAGGCTTTCTGGGGTCTGCTTCCTCATTTGGAGTCAGTTCTAGTAGCCTGGAGCCTCAGGAAGAGAGATCCAACCTGGGCGTGTTGTGCCCAGGACTCAGGGATGCGCATCTGTGAGGATGCAAGAAATGGGCAGGGCAGCGTTGAGGGGATGCTCACAGAGGTGAGGAACAAGGGTTCTGGAGTCAGCCTAGCCAGACCCTGGCGTGCGGCCTTGGTCGTATTAATGTCATGGTGCCTCAGTTTCCCCATCTGTAAAATGGGTATAACATTCACCTACCTCGACTATGGACAGTGCCTCACAGTGCTGAGCACATCCACATCTTCAAGAAATAAGCATCGGTACTACCCTTGGGAGCTTCAGCTCCAGCTAAGGAACCAGACTGGGGAGCTACACACGGGGGTAGGGTGGTCCCTATAGCAACTGCCCGTCATAGATAGGAGGGATCTGGTGGTCTCAGGGAAGAGGTCTTGAGGGAACAGTGTCTGAGAGGAGGATGGCTAATATTTATTGATGTCATTTCTGTGGTTTTTGGTGCTGGGGCAGACCCCAGGGCCCGGCACAGGCTGAGTGACCATGCCAGAAGTATGCAAATATTAGTATATGGGAGGAGGCTGGTAGCATCTCAGAGGAGGAACACGGACAAGCTGCCCGGTCTTTCTGTAGCTCAAAATTCCCTCTCCTTAACTCAAAGCAATTTAACCCATATCCTGTGCCCCACCATATTGGGGTGGTAGCTGGACCCTTCCTGGGCCCGCTTCCTAGTGCATTGTATAGGGATCCTGCTGTCAAGGGGAGTCAGGGCTCCCAGAAAGACTACTGTGTCACATGCCCTGTGACAGATGCAGCCCGTGTTTGCAAATCCCAGCCCTGGCGCTCTTCCCTCCCTACCTGTACCGCCTGGGAGCAGCATTCTCGGAAGCTCCAGCCTCACACATTTCAGGCTTTTATGCGAGCAGCGTCTTGGCACACGGAGGGATACAACCCTTTTCTATCGGAAGCGGGTCAGTCCAGGTATTGGGTTCCCGTGTGGGTCATAAGTTCTTCCTTTGTGAACTGACCCCCATGGCCTAGTAGAGAGTCACCACAGAAGACAGTCACAGTTGCCTCTGCACTCACGTCACTATGGAGCCTGACTAGAGTACCTCCCTCACCCCACCAAGCTGTGCTGGGGCCATTTTCTTTTAGTTAAGATCTCCCTCTCTTCCCTGGGCTAATATCTTCAGTGGTCCTCTTGCCTCAGCTTCCTGAGGTGCTGGGTGGTCCCAGCTGCTCACCACTGTGCCCTGCAGGCCTAAATTAAAGGTTAAGAAAGTGAGGCCCAGAGAGTTTAGGGAAGTTGCTCGGGTTGTTGTTTTTCTTTCCTTCTTTGGCTTTGTGAGTGGTTGTTTAACTTCTGAGGGGTGACAGGCTCTGGGAATGTGTCCACAAGCAAAACAGACAAGGTGGTGCCTAGCTTGCTTTGGCCTCGAGGCAAAGCTAAGGGGACTTGTAGGTAGTGGGAAGTGTTGTGGAGGGGGAGGGCACACCAAGGTCAATGCTCAGTGTCACCTTAGGGGAGGCTGCTGAGGCCCAGCATCTTCATTGACTCCTGAGCCACAGACAAGTGGATCCGAAGGAACATTCCAAGGGAGAGAATGGAGAGTTCTGAAGTCAGGGAAGGGTTGGGTGTGTCCAGGGGTATGTTGAGTGACAGAAGTTGGACGTAGTCCCTTGCCAACATGCCAGGTAGAAAAAAGGCCAGTCAGTCCTTTGTGTGCCCTGCACTCCCTGTGTGGATGTGGACTTTGGAATTCTGTCAGGGTGGTAGCGAGGCCTGGAGTTGTTAAGTGAGGGAGTACATTCCCTTGATGCTGTTTTTAGAAAGCAGCTCTAGACCCCTTGGTTTCTACAAAGTCGCAGGTGTAATTGTTGCTCCCAAGCCCATCCAGCCTGCTCCCCTAGGCATCTGGGGGTGGAAACTATTTGTTTCCTGCCTCTGTTCCACTTAGCAGCCATGTGAAAGGCAAGGGAGAGTGCGCCAGGCATGGCCGTCCATATTGCTGGGCCCATGAGGTGAGCGAGGGTCCCCAAGTCCTGGGAATAGAGAGCCCTCTGCCCGGGGAGCGAAAACCTTCTGGTGTTATCCAGTTAGCAAATAATGTCAGAAATGACAGTTAGGGACAGGTTGAAAGGTCTTCTGCCTCACAGGGTCTAACCCTGACAGAGCAGATTGTAACAAAATGTCACCAACGTGTCATAGGAATGGAAGGAATGTGTCCTGACCAAAAAACAAAACCAAAAACCACAAAGACCCAAACAAATTAATAATAATAAAATCACAGATACACACACCCAGAGAATAAGAGAGAGAGAGAGAGCTTGTGTATATGTATGTACACGTTTCTGTGTCCTAGACCTCTGTGATAGGTGAAGGGGCCTAAGGTGTGGCCTTACATCCCCATGCTTTCCCAGCCTGTGAGGACTGAGTGCCTATGGCAGAGGCTCAGGAGACAGCTCCTGACACCCTGGCCTTGCAGATATGCTAACCTCTATCCGCCAGAAGAGAAACAATAGGACAGGGAGGGTGAGCTCCCCTCAGGGTTTCTATCCAGTGGCCATCTGGGTCTGACCCCTGCTGAAATCCTATTTTCTGTCTCAAAGCTATGGTAGCAGAGGGCAGTGGCACCTTGGATAACCTATTTTACAGATCGGAAAGAAAATTGCCTTTTTGCCAGACTTAGAGAATGTAGCTAACTAATAAGCCCAGCCAGGCGCCTGGTTGCATGCCTGCAATCCCCACTCCCTCCAGAAGGAGAATGAGACCAGTATGGACTGCACAGTGAAACCTGATCTCTGAAATAAATTTCTTTAAAAAGTATCCGGAACTTGGCTTTTGTATATATAGTAAGAAGGGGCACAGGTAGGCAAGTGCCCTCCTAGAGAGCCAGCGCCCGTGCGGTGGAAATGAGGGGTATTTTATGCTCACGATGTCTATTCATCTTTAAGGTTTTTGTATTTCTTTTTCTATGTAAACCTCCATCTCTTCAAATCTTCAGTAAAGTGTGCTACAAACACAGATGTGTGCATGCATGTGATTTCTTTGTGCAGGAATGGGAGCTCTGCGCCTGTTCACGCAAACTAGTGGCAGGTACACACAGAGACTGGCCTGAGCTGAACCAAGACAGTGGGAGCAGGAACCGACCCCAGCACTGAAGAGTTACAATGCTTTGGAATATGGCATGCTAAGAGGTTGGCCATCGCTCCACGGCACTGCCGAGCACCTAATTCACATCATGCTGTCCTGAACTAGCTTGAGGTTCAGGGAGGGCCAATGCAGAAACCCCACAAGTACCTGCTGCGCTCTCCCTTCACTCCCCGCCCTGAGCAGGGAGACAGGAGGCCTTGCCTGGATGACTGGACCTGCCTTTCTGAGCGCCTTCCTCCCCGGACCAGAAGACTGAGGAAGGACACTTGATTCTCATTGGAGTTGGGGGTTGGGGATGTTACTGAGAGTTGGGGCTGAGAAGGAAGCTGTGGTCAGCTCTGTGCTGAGACATGATGTGTTTAGAGACAGAAGGAGGAAAAGCAGGAGCGTGATTGGCCCTCAGTGGTAAAGGAAAAGTTTTGGGGTCAGGGGAGGTCAGCTGCTACTCACAGGAAGATGAGGATGAGAGTGGAGAAGTGACCACTTATGACAGAGACCCCTGTCTTCTCTCTCTCTCTCTCTCTCTTCCTTCCAAGACAGGGTTTCTCTATGTAGCCTTGGCTCTCCTGGACTTGATTTGTAGACCAGGCTAACCTCAAACTCACAGAGATCCTCCTGCCTCTGCCTCCTCAAGTGCTGGGATTGCAGGCTTGTGCCATTGCACCGGGCTCCTTGTCTCCTTTCAAATAACAGGACTAAACCCCTCTGTTTTTATCTAGACATGTGGTCGCTCAGAATAAAGCCACATTTCCCAGCTTCCGCTCTAGTCTAGTGTGACTAAATTTGGCCTATGGAGGTAAGTAGGAGTGATGTAAGAGTGAGTGGGTGTGGTCTTTATTCTAGGGAATTGTTGGGCATATGATGTAATGGCTGGATTTAGTGTAGCTACTCTGAGATGACGTTAGACTGGCAACTACTCAGGATATAGCAGAAAGACCAAAGAGTGTTAAAGTGCTGTAATGGATTCCAGGTGAAATAAATTTTCATGTTTAAGTCATTTTATTATGTATAGTTTTTGGAATTAGCAGTCAAGCTTAATTCTAACCCATCACAGTATTAGATCTGGTAACAAATTTGGAGGCAACACGGTTAAGGCATAAAGGCGATGATGATGATGATGATGATGATGATGATGATGATGATGATGATGATGATGATGATGATGATGATAATGAGATGATGATGATGATGACCTTTTGAGAAAAAACTTGCCATCCTGTCTCAGCCTTCCAAATGCTCCTATTACAGGCATTTGCCTCCACATCCTGCTCTTCCTTGCACTTTTCAGTTTACAAAGCATTTCTAAAACATTCTCTTGATTGATGTCCGCAGCTTCACTGTGCTCCTGCAGACATTCTTTTCGAGGAGGAAGAGGCTCATCAGTAACTAACATGGTTTCAGTGTGAATATCCCTGCAGGCTCGTGTGTTTTAACACTTGGTTCCCAGCTGGTGGCGCTGTTCTGGAAGGTTACAGAACCTTGCTGGCAGACCTAAAGTTCAGGCTTGAAAGTTACTAAGGGTAGAATTCTGCGCTGAAGCCATCTGGTCCTGGGCTTTTTTTGGATGGGAGACTTTTGATGACTGCTTCTATTTCTTTGGGGGATATAGGACTATTTAATTGATTTTCAAATTTTGTTGAGTATAGTCTTTTGAAGTAAGTCCTAATGATTGTTTGGATTTCCTCAGTATCTGTAGTTATGTCCCCCTTTTCATTTCTGATTTTGTTGATTTGGGTGGTGTCTCTCTGCCTTTTAGTTAGCTTGGCTAAGGGTTTGTCGATCTTGTTGATTTTCCCAAAGAACCAGCTCTTGGTTTCATTGATTCTTTGAATTGTTTTATTTGTTTCTAATTGTTTGATTTCAGCCCTGAGTTTGATTATTTCCTAAAGAGAGAATTATCTGTAGAGGAATATCGAATGGCAGAGAAGCACTTAAAGAAATGCTCAACCTCATTAGCCATTAGGGAAATGCAAATCAAAACAACCCTGAGATTTCACCTTACACCCATCAGAATGGCCAAGATGAAAAACTCAAGGGATAACACATGCTGGAGAGGTTGTGGAGAAAGGGGAACCCTTCTCCACTGCTGGTGGGAATGTAAACTGGTACAACCACTCTGGAAATCAATCTGGCGCTTTCTCAGACAACTAGGAATAGTGCTTCCTCAAGATCCAGCCATACCACTCCTAGGCATATACCCAAAAGAGGCGCAAGTACACAAAAAGGACATTTGCTCAACCATGTTTGTAGCAGCTTTATTTGTAATAGCCAGAAGCTGGAAACAACCAGATGCCCCTCAACTGAAGAATGGATGCAGAAACTGTGGTACATCTATACAATGGAGTATTACTCAGCAATGAAAAATAAGGAAATCATGAAATTTGCAGGTGAATGGTGGGACCTGGAAAGGATCATCCTGAGTGAGTTGTCCCAGAAGCAAAAAGACACGCATGGTATATACTCACTCATATAAACATACAATATAAAATAAACCCACTAAAATCTGTACATCTAAACAAACTAAGCAAAAGAGAGGACCCTAACTAAAATGTTCAATCCCTATCCTGAAAGGCAAAGAGGATGAAAAAGAAAATAGGAAAAGAAAAAGAAAAGAAAAGAAAAAGAAAATAGAAAACAACCTCGGAACCTGCTACAGAGGGCCTCTGAAAGCCAGAAGAAAACAGGAAACAACCTTGAAACCTACCACAGAGGGCCTCTGAAAGCTTCTGCAGTATAGACTGTCAAAGCAGATGCTGAGCCTGATGGCCAACTGATGGGCAGAGTGGATGGAATTTTATGTAAGAAGTGGGAAATAGTAAGAGCTGGAGGGGACAGGAACTCCACAAGGAGAGCAACAGAACAAGATAATTTGAACACAGGGAACTTCCCAGAGACTCATACTCCAACCAAGGACTATTCGTGGAGATGACCTGGAACCCCTGCACAGGTGTAGCCCATGGCAGTTCAGTGTCCAAGTGGGTTACATAGTAATGGGAAGAGGGACTGCCTCTGACATAATCTGATTGGCCTGCTCGTTGATCACTTCCCCCTGAGGGGGGAGCAGCCTTACCAGGCCACAGTAGAGGACAATGCAGCCACTTTTGATGAGAACTGATAGACTAAGATCAGAAAGAAGAGGAGAACCTCCCCTATCAGTGGACTTGGGGAGTGGCATGCATGCAGAAAGGGGAGGGAGGGTGGGATCGGGAGGGGAGGAGGGAGGGGCTTATGGGGGGGATACAAAAAAAAAAAAGAAAGTTACTAAGGGGAACAGGCATGGACTCTATTGCCTGCTTCTTCATCATTCCCACCCTGATGTGACTTAATGAGCTGGGGTGGGTGGGTAGCTGGGGGAGGGGACTCCTCCCCTTTTCCCTTTTCTGAGGAATAGAGGAGGGGGCGGGGACTAAGATCGGGATGTAAGTGATTAATTAAAAGAAAAGAAAAAGCCACAGGCCAGGACGATTCTGTCCCAAGCTCTCTGTGCCCCAATCTGCCTAGAGGTGACTGAGTTGTGCCACCAGCTCCACTGCCCCTGGCGTTTCACACTGGTTAATACACTGCTGACCTTCCACCTCAGCTAGGTCTGGCTCCCCGGCCCGCTGGGGCTGATCGTGGGTGGTCAAAATTTGCCTGAAGCTGGGTGGGGGGAGTAGAAAACCCAGAAAGGACACAATTTAGAGGGAGGAGTAGTTCAGTCAGTAGTGGAGAACTTGCCTTAGCCTATGTGGCTCTGGCTTGCATCCAGGGAAACAAAACAGAAAATAAAAATGGGATGAAGAAAGCTTTTTCTTTTTTCTTTTTCTTTTTTTCTGCGGTGCCCAGGAGGTTGTGGAGAATAAGGAAGGCAACAGCGGATGATGGGTTCTATTGGAGGGAATGTGTTTGCCAGCTGACAGGCTAGAGAACCCTTTCTAGAAGGAAGCAGGAGTCATCAGATGCGCAGTCCGAGTCTGTTGAGTGTCCTGTGACCTTCTAATTTAAAAAAAAAAAAAAAGCAATTTAAAAAGGATTAGGTTTTGTTTTGTTTTTTGTTTTCAGTCCTCCTACCCCTAAGGCCAAGCTGGGATTTAGGAATGTGGAACCGTAGTCTCATTCTGCCTTTTCCCTTTGGTGACGTTGTTTTGAGACAGGGTTTCACACAGCTCAGCTTGGCTTCGCGCTGTTCACCTGCAGATGACCTTTAACACCCAGCCCTTACAAAGATTGGGATTATAAGTATGTGCCACCACCCTTGCCTTCAGTGTCGGCTTTGCTGACTTCTTTCCAGCCCCGAGGCCTGACGCTGGGGCTGAGCTGCTGCTGTATGCCAGCTCTTTGGTGACGGTGTGCAGAGACCCGGCTTCAAGCTGCTCACCAGGTTCTCCCTGCCCTTGCACCCTGCCGTATGTCTTCTACCCCCGCATTCTCTGAGAAACTCCAGAAACTCTCATTCTGTCCAGCTCCACCCCTCCCCCCCCTGTGGCCCCTCTAACCTTGGCTTGCCCACCCCAGCTTGGCCCTGGATGCACATTAAAGCAAGGCCTGCTCCCAGTTGGCCTGGGCCCCTCCCAGCTGTGATCTGCCCACTTGCTCTTGCTCTTCATCTCTCTGGTCTGGGATTCCTGGCTGTGCTCCCTGGCTTTGATACTTGCCTCTGTGCTCTCTGGTTTGGCAACTCCCCACATTCCGCT